TGAAATGTAAAAGATTAATTCACCTTTGTTCTCAAGATTTCATCAGTTGTAACAACCCCATGACAAGAAAACGCATTGGCTTCTAAAAAGCAAAGAACTACGGTGGGATGTATCTTATTCTTATTTCATATGGGCATACATCCACTAGAATATCCGGGTCGCTCTTTCAGTGGATTGTGAGCCTTGATGTGCACCTAACTTGTTAATCTGCTATAGCAGCGGTATCCAAATAAATGACTGAGACAAAGAAATTGTGAAAGTAAATAAATAGATCGTGCAAGCAAAAGACAATTGCATTTCAAGCAGCGTACAAGTTGATGATACCAAGTGCCAGCAGGACTAGGGACTTATATCCTGAATGCTAAAGAGAGGTCACCATTAATCTAGACGACATCCCTCCATGAATTCATGACATTGAAGAAGAGAGCGTCAACATGCCTGTGTTTAACCTTACCATCTTCATGTTGTAGTACACGGACTCTGTACAGATACGGGTGATGAAGTGATGCCACTGGCAGGGGCCATTCGTGTTTTATACTGCGCGACAGTGCGGTTTAAACCGCCGGGGGGAAGGGTACGGGGGAGGGGGCTGCGGGCGGTTATTCAGGGACGCCCGGATCAGGCAGATGATCTAGTTCAGGCTAGCTGGGAAGGCCATACGCCCGGTTGTATGGATGGACTGGATAGCATTCAAAGTGCGATACGGCATTCAGCCGTATGCTTTCAGCTGAGGCTGTGCGATCAGAGCGGCATGGGAGGTATGCCGCATGATTGTTTACCACTCAATTGCATAAAGTTCTCTTCAGGCTGCGTTAGATCATTGTCCTAGCCAGCTATAGCTTAGTGGGAGCCCAATGACTCCGTCACCCACGTGAACCAGAATTATTTTTAGCTGGCGTCAGTCAAACGTTCCCAGCACTTTAACACGCGTGATGTGCATTGTCATGATAGTGTCGTTGGAAGGGAAAGCTTTCTCCTTCTTTCCTAGAAAATGTGACGCCTTGGGAGCTGAACCCGCTTGGCTATGTTCCTGTACGCTATCGGCCACATGCTAAGGGCCAAAACCTATCGTGTTTCCATTATACCACCGAGACGAGACGCATACGAGGCCATTCTATTGTGTTTTGATGCAGCTCATTGGTCTGTCTGTTTGAGAAACATTGATAAACGATAAACTCGTTTGCTGTAACGGACCTCTGAATCACAAACATGAGCCCAAGTGTCTGGAAAAGATAAGGCGAGCTGTGCATCATATTGTACTGTGCGCTTTGCACTTCTTTATCTAGCGATACCTTGCAGGCCAATCGGTGTGCTGATGGCTCAAAACCTTCAGAAATCATGAGATTAGTTTTATGGCCACAGTGTTAAGATTTTTAGCGAGGTTTTTCTAGGGTTGAGTAGGCGTTGTGAGCGCGTGTGGTATACTGATTGTGTCATTGTTGTATTTTTCAACTAATTTCGACTTACAAGCTCTATCAGAACAAGACAAAGTGGAGCTAAGCCGTCCACGATTTCTAGAACTTGAACACATCGTAAAAACCTTAAAGGGCAATAAATCTTCAGAAGGCCACGGTTTCCAGCAAAAATGTATGGCAGATGTTTTTATTTAATGTGCCTAGATAGTCTGAGCAAAAAAGGCTGCACCAAACTATGCATGAATGATTTTCACGCTGAATCCGACGATTGGCCAGGCCAAAGATGTCATCGAAAGTTACATTCCAATAATGATGCGCCGTACTGGCTGTTCAATGGTATCAGCGACATGTGCGAGCCGTCTGAAGCGGCGGTCGATATCAATTTTCGGGAAATAACAAACGGGGTTTGTGCCTGGTAGATCCATCGGTAGCGCATCCAGACTGATGCATGATGCTGTGCACACTGTAAATGAGTCAGGTTCTCAAGAATTACTAGTATGCTTAGACATGGACAATACCTTCAACGCGATTCGTAAGTGCGTTTAATTTGGAGGATTTGAACATTGAAAGCATATTTTTGTGGCGATCTTGCACTGCGTACAGGACCTTTTCTATCGCAGAGAGGGGAAATAGTACTGTTATGCGTTGATGACTCGCAAAAACAGTATAGATGAAATAATGCCGGTCACGGAAGCGAAAGCATAACACCTACGCGGAACATCCCTGGACGATGCTGGTCTCATCAGCAGTTTACCTAGAGCATGCGTGACGATCAGAAATGAAGCCAAAACTGCACACTCATCAAAGCCAAATTATGTATCTGTTTAGAATGAGGAAAAAGACAAGACACATTTACAGTCGTTAATTTTAGGCAGAAACCACACAAAGCATTGGGTAAGTATATGGATCGACCAGTTCGGTGACATTGAATGACCCCCAACTTATATTTACCAAGCAGGATGCTCCTCGATCAAGTAAGCTTACAAAAGGGCTTTGCTCTATAAAATGATAACATTCACGGCTGCAACAAACAAACTGCTTTATAAAATGAGCGTCGAAGAAGCAGATGCTTGCGAAAGATGTAGGGACCGCCCAGAAACGCTATGCCATTAGGTATGGGGTCTTGCCCCGTTGTGCATCGATTCTGGAACCTTGTAAGGGATTGGCTAAACGACGAAACAGGGAAACAGTCTGGAGCAAGTCTGAAACAGTTTGAGGCATCATAACAGCAGGTAAATATGGAGTCAGGCTAAAATGCGACCTTTTTGCTCTCTGGAAACTCATTATGTTTACGTTTCATTTGTATCAACTATTTTATTCATCAGTGTAATATTATGCTACCAATCGATGTTCATACAGCTTTTGGTTTCATAAAACCTACTTCATTAAGAGTCGTGCTGTGTTAATTGCTAGACAAGTGAATGCAAGATGTCTCCTCTGCCCAGCTTTTCCAGCTACATCGCATTGGCACCATCACTTGGTCTCCTCATTATATTAACATGAAAAACGTAACAAGTTCAAATTATAAGTCGGTCGAATAAATGGTAACTTGGCACGAAATATACGTGTGACAGCATGGTACTAGTGCTCACGGTACTTAGTAACCAACGGCCGGCCGAGCGGATGCGCCGGCCGGCCGTTAGATAAGAATTACCACCATATAATTATCACCACGCCATGAGGATTTTGGACCGCTTATTTCAAATTTCAGCTAATTGTACGATGACTATCAGTCTCGCCAAAAAAGTTTCTTTAAAAGAGAGATAGCAAACAATTTAGGATTCAACCGTGCTGCTTTCATCGTTCTAGCTTTGAAACCGTGTCCGTCCTTTTTTAGCCATATCCGTCGTGTTCCCTTGGTTTTGCGTGTAAATCCAAGGAAAAATGCTTTATGAGCGGGTCCTGCCGCATATTTCACTCGACACGTCGAAAAATATTCGAGTTATCCAATATCTGTCCTGGGTCTCCAAAGGTTATATTCGGAGGAACATCACCGACTAAATCCCATTCTATTCCGTTCAGAATTGTGCCGCTTTTCTGCTTTGAAGGCAATGTAACGTGCTACGGGCTGCGAATACTTACTTGACTGAGTATTAGTATAGTGAACTGTTATATGTCAATCAATTGTTTTCGAACTGGCCGAACTTAATTTTTACATATTTTGAGTTCAACATGCATATGTTTCTTGTGTCACCTGCAGTGCTGCTCACGTTAGTTTTTATTTTGGCGTTCTGCCAGAACAAATCTCCCGTCCTCGTGTCCACGGCTTAAAGGCAATGCAGTTTGTTGGTATGTATGTTCTTTGCATACCGACGATACGGTGAGCATGCAATGTCTTTCAATGGAATTGATGTTCCAGCCAGATTGTATTTTAGTGTGTTGGTAATTTGACTTCAAGTTTTTATTACGTACCTACCCAGTACTGTCCGACGCGGTCAGTGTCTCAGGATACACTTCCCGTACGAACATACACGCAACATCTTCCTTGTATTGTAGGTGTTACTTACGTTGCTTTTATGCCGGTTTTTATTTCAGCTATGGTAATACCAGTTGAATGGCAAAGAAAACTTGGCGACATTAATCGCCTTCCGAAAACATATCACCTTTGATAGTTCACTTCCCTCGCTCACGTTGACTCCAAGAGCCTGACAAAAGACATCATTCCTCTACTGGGCTGTACTTACATCTGTGCACAGCAGGTTTCGTTCTACACGTTGAACGATCCAGGCTGTGAGGCGAGTACTTCAAGCGCTCAGCATCGCGCCTCAGCTCGGTGTTCGCCTTCTCTACCAGCTGCTGGTTGAAGTGGTGGAAGGAGGCCGATGCCTTCTATTGTGGATCAAGGTACGGCACATGGCAACATAAAATGTTCGCGAACCGCCACCATTAGAGCGGTAGAACGGTACAAATGCCATCTATTGGTCAGTAAATGTACCAACTCCCATTCGCTGGTACCGTGTTTCACAAATCATAGGTACAAAATTCGCTCAGATATTCATTTTAGTAACGGGATTCTCGCCTTCACCGATAACGATGATTGACTGGTCATGACTTGTTTATGCATGGCAGCTCCTGAATTTTGAACTGATTTATTGGTTGATGCATTTTTCACGTTGAAATCTCTGGACCCATTTTCATCAGAAATTTTGGGCAAAGTTAACAGATGAAATCACACTATTATAGAAACAGTGGACCGCACCTTCCTCTAACACAGTACACTTTTGGCATGAGGAATGCAAGGTATTGACGCTTATGTGAACCTGCGGTGCTCTGACATTATGTGGGGCTATTTCGACCTCTGAAACCGTAACCAAGCAATCAAACATCCCGCCGCCGAGCTCTCCTTTCTTCGTCCCCCCCCCCTCCCCCTCCCAGGGTCCAATTTCGGGCACATCCAAGCCATCGGAGAGCCCGAGAGTCAGGTGGCGTCCTCTGGCCGGTCAGTTGCGTAATCTTCTCCCGTTGTTGGCATCGGATCCCATGAACTGGTTCATCTGCCTGACCCGGTCGTCCCTGTACACCGGGCCCTCCGGTGGCCCTGCTCAGCAGTATAAAACACGTCTGCTCCCGAGCAGAGGCACCACTTCATCCCTCGCCTCTCCTCGAGTCAACACACCACAACATGAAGCTGGTAAGTCAGAGCGAACCTATTTTGCTGGGTCCTCACATGAGTGTTTGCTCTTTGGCAAGTCAAGCAAGTCATCAAGTCATCAAGTCAAGTCATCCTGCAAGTCAAGAGGCAGGCTAATGAATTGACAACTCTATGTATCATAGCCCTGCACGTTTTGTTTGAGTTGATTTGATGCATGTTCTGCATGTGAAGATAACTTTAACGTCAGCACATGCCTTAAAAATATTTCCGCGATTGATGATAACTGTCTTTGTTTCAGTTTGTGTTCGCTGCCGTGGTGGCCGTCTGCGCCGCCGCCCCCTCCCAGACGTACGAGGCCCCACAGGTCCGTGCCGCCCTCCAGCCCGTCGCCAAAATCCTCGAGGAGGACAGCCAGCATGACGGTCAAGAGGGCTTCAGCTTCCGCTTCGTCTCCGACGACGGCATCGAGCGGCAGGAGCAGGGCTCGGACGGCGCTGTCACCGGCTCGTACAGCTACACGTCACCGGAGGGCGCTGAGATTGTCGTGAGCTACGTGGCCGACGCGCTGGGCTTCCGTGCCGAGGGTGCGGCGCTGCCGACGGCCGTGCCCACCGAGTACCCGACGCCCGAGGTGCCGTCGACCGAGGCGGCCCCCGAGGTGCGCACCGTGCAGGGGTACTCAGCTCCGGCCCCCGAGGTGCGCGCCGCCCCGGCCCCCGTCCAGTACGAGAAGGTGCTGGTTGGTTACCAGCCCCGCTACCAGTAAAAAGGATGATTTATATCTGGTATACATCCCCGTAACTGAACACTGCAGCAAGTGCTTGAGGATCGCCTTTCATGTGAGCCATGTGATACCTCCATGAATGCCAATATTCTTATGTGCTTATGTCTAAAGTGCTTATGAGCGTCCTGATGTCCATGTCCGTGTGTCTTCTGTACTTGCCGATTTGTATCGTCTTTTGTCTTTTTGTGTCGTCGTGTTCTGGAAGGCTTTCTTTTGCATTATTTATTATTAGCATGTTTGAAGAAATGTCAACAGCAAAATATACTTGCACACAGCTATTCCACTTTGTTTATGTTCTAGAAGCTTTGAATAGTTTTTAATCTCACGTTTCGGGATTTCAAGATATACTGTACTGTTTTTCACCTTCCCAGGCTCAAAATGCCCGCCGTGCCCAAACTGTCTCACACTAGCTTTTTATTAGAAAAAGCGATGCCGCTGCTCAAAGTTCAACGGAGTACATTGAAGAGTTTCGTATTTACGAATGACGTCGTCGGCCCAATGCGTCTCCCCTGGAAGGTGAGAAAAACCTTCAACTTGAGCTACCCAATCAGATTCGGCCAGTCGGCACGTTTTCTATAAACTAATGGCTTTGCGGTCCCTGGTTCCCAATTCACGCAGACCCCAGGAATAAGAATTGTGATTCTCAATATGCTGTACAGCATAAACCGTTGAACATTCTCACCAATCTCTTGTGGTCAGGTGGTTATTTTCTGTCACATCGCAATACCACTACGACATCACCTACCGCGCTCGAGTAACATGGAAAGTAAAATCAAAGTTCATAGTAAGGTGAAGGCATAATTTATATCGCATTGTCACCAATCTCTGCGATCTAGTACGACAGTTTCGGCCACTGTACCTTTTGCTTGGCAAATCATCCTGAAAAGTACGAGCTACAACGCCTTGATCAATCCCAATGGTATCGGTTGCCAAATGTGTCTGGGTCTTTTACCTTAGTTCGTATATCGTCTACATGGTGACAACTGATAGCCGCATCATGCGTCTTCAGCATGCTCGCGAGACCTGCAGAGAGCCTCTGGATGTATCAAGACCCAATTAAAACATGTCGTGTCCTGTACATTGGCTATTTGGTGTTCATGAAGATAGATCCTGCCTACATATCCGCCTGCTGAGGCCGATTTATTAAAATTGTTCTCCCGGGCCTACCGCCCAAGTTGTTTAGCAGTCGACATGCTAATGGCGATCGGAAATAAAAGTTGCGATGCAAAGAATTGCATGTTTCGATGTTGACGCTCGTGTGCCGCTAGTCGTCGGAGCACGTTTGTATATATATACATATATATATATATATATATATATATATATATATATATATATAGGGTATTCAATGGCGGCTCTTTTTGCTAAATACGAAGTGATTCGAAAATCCTTGCATGAAGGGGTTGGTTGCGACGTTTTAATACTGACAGGATTTTAACGTTGAAATAGTGTCGCATATAAATGAATGGTTTCGGATGTGCGAGGGTCTGGGTTAGACAGAATGCAACCCGTGCGCTCAGACCTCTAATGTTGCCGTACTCTGCAGCTCAAACTACGAAGGGTTGAACCCACGTAAGATGCTCCACACAAAGCACAACAATATTTATAAATGACTCTAGAGACAGAACTTTTGGTTGGTTTGCCCTTTAACTTGTAGAAGGATCCAACAGTAAAAGAGCTTTTTACTGTGATTTTAGGGGACAGACAAAGGTAAACCCCTGTGGCAAGTGGACGAGCTCATTCTTCATTTGTTTCGATTTTCAAGGCTAAGCTTCGTTGATATTTGCTTGTTTGACACATTTTTAAAAAATATATATATTTCAATCGTTGAAAGCTTCCGTATTAAGATGTTGAGCAATTCTTTCGATCTTCATCGATCCTCTAACCTTACGATCAGCCTTATCTCAGATCTTCTCGATCAAAATTTATCGATCGAGTCTGCAGTCCAATTGTCTTAAAGCCTTGAAAAAAGTTGTTAACTTTCATTTTTCACTCCGACCCTTTTCACTCTCTGAGAGTTCATATCTTTGCAACCACCAACCGCAGGTTCATTGCAGTTTTTTTCATAGAACCAGGATATTAAGAGTTACGCTACACTGATAGACATATTGACGCAAAATATCTTATCTGCCAAGTTTTTCAACTACGTTGCAACAGCACCGTCATTTCGCTTCCCAAATGCATTTATGGGAGTGATCTAAATCGATATGGGGTTTTGAACCGAACAAATATTTTGAAGATCATTCGGTGCAGTTTACAGCCCTGCCCGTCTTCAAACACAAGCCGCTCTAATTTCTGAGCTACACTCCCACGAACATGTGCAGACTTTTCGTGCAGACTACTTCAAGATCCCGCAAGCATCCTTGATGCCATACCAATGTTCTTCCATCCCTCCGTCCCATTGACAATGCGGCAATCTAGGCCAAGAAAAGTATAGTCGTCGACTTGTTCACAGCTGGAGTTCGTGAGCACGATTTCCAAATATACCAGCCGTCAGTTGATACGATGGTTATCTTTTTTAGCTATACTCACTGGTCAATACAGATGGGTTTAGTCAGGTGTCATTCAAACCACAGCTTCAGGTACGTAACGGTTCACCATAAGTTGCCTGAAGGCACAAAAAAACAATGCTTATTATCCATGTTAGAAATAGAAAAATGGTGTAATGACCTCGTGCGAAAATCAAGATCATTTTTTAAATCACATATTGCATGAAAACCGGATGTATCGAGTCATCCGCTCTTGAAACAGATCAACCTCGGGACATAAAACAACCACGTGTAGCAGGTCAACTCATGGTAAGGGAGCTCCGCATGCCACACCAGCTTTGGAGGCCTGGGTTGGCTGAGCGCCGACGGGCTGGCTATTGAGTAAGACGTAGCCTCGATACCCCCTCCGTTTGTGTTTGCGCCCCCCCCCCCCCCCCCCATCGACCCTGGCCGGCTGGGTGGGGTAAAGCTGGAGCGCGTCAGCGAGGGCAGCATGTCAGACCAGCAGCGGCTGACGTCGGCTACTCGCGGCACGCACTGGGGGGCAAGGCTTGGGTTCTGCGGTGATGGTACCTGAAGCAGACTGCTTGCTGAATTAGAATAGCCTATTGTCTGCTCTAACATTTTGTGCCACATTTTATAACAGTGGCGTATCGGTTCGGCTCCACCGTCAGCCCAGCTGGTTATGTCGTGGATCGCAGGAATTCGTCTAGCGAAGCGCTGACTAGTTTGAGCATGTCTGTCATTATTACCCTGTTAACGGCACTTCATCTGGGGCTACTCTGCAGTAACTGGTCTCAATGAATAATAGATGGAATGATGTAAATTAGGTGACTAATACTGGAGGATGACAAGAGCCAGAATGTAAAAGTATTGTGATGCCGTGCTTCTCAACGTACCGTCAAATTAATTTTCCGAACAAAAATTTTGTAATCGACATGTATTTTATTCTTAATGCATAATGCATTAGCCATGGTACTATGGTACCTCATAAAATCAACCCATAAGTGTCATTCCATATATGACGTAACGTGCGCCCACCATGGGGATCGAGACAACCGAGCCCGGCCGGAGGAAGAGTTGACTCTCCGCTCCCTCTCCCCCCCCCCTACCCCCCGGGATCTCCAAGTTCTGGACGCCGCATGAGAAAAGCAAGGTACCTCTGTGAAGGTCTCGTCAAACCATCGAGAATGCACACCAAATTTGTTACCTTTGCTCCAATGTAGAGTAACCAGGGGTCACGAAATGTAAAAAGGGCCGTTCCGATAAATGCAGTTAAAAACTTATGTGGACACGTCAAGGCGGATATTTAGGACGCAGAAGTAACGTTTAGAATGTTCGGACTCCATTCCGACCATTTATGTTCCCGGCACAACCGTCGGGCCAAATCAGGTTACGGTTCAAAATTGAAGTATCAGCATGCTACAAGAACGATATTTTTTCGTTCACAATGTGTATCTGACTAAGTTCATCTCATTACGTCCAGCTGTGGGACAGAAGCATCCCAGACGCAAAAATATCATTTTGGGCTGACCTAAAAGTCAGCTTGTGTCGGCTTAGGCCAAATCTATAAACTATTCAAATGAAAAAAGTGTTAACTGAGTCTAAACGACCAGCATGGATGTTTGTGGTGGGTCAGAATTAGCGTGTTAAATATCGATAGGTATTAAAGATCGCATAGCTGTTGTATATACTGTGTATAGTCCCATCGACGTTCGGTAATGTATTTGTAACAAGTACACGTGTCGCATTCGCACGTCTAGCCGCTCCTCTACTGACAATAGAGGTCATTGAACTTAGACGACTCATATGACTGCATGACCTTCACGACCTCATTGTCCTCACGTGACCTAAGGTGAGCTTATTATGCATTAGACTGATACCGCAACATGTTTTCAGCGAAGTATTAGAATTCTGCGCCCAACATTATCACATAGAACTGCTTTTTTGAGCAAAGCATGGGTTTGGTAGAAAGCGTCCATTGGTGTTGGTCATGACCTGGGCCACGTTCATGTGCTCTGTAGTCATAAAATGATTGTGCATGTAAGTAAGCACTGTTTTCCTCATGTTCAAACACCAGAACTACACGAAAAGGCGTAAAAATCTGCATTATTTACGAAACATAGCACAAACTTACCTCATTTCTACTCACTGACATTGTGGGTTTAAGAAAATCTGAAACAAACAAACTGTAGACAGGGGTGTTAATTTTTGTAAAATATTGGGGGGCCGAACCGAAAGCCCGTCAACTAATCCCCCCATTTTTTCTCACCGGATTTAGCCCACTTTATTTTGGTTAAATGGAGTATATGCTCTTAACCTTCGTATGATTTATAAGTCTTCAATTTAAGCGGTACAGAATTCATGCAGGGTTGGATGAAGGGGGCAGGCACTGGCCGTACACGTCTCTTCTGATCGGCACGTGAAGGCGCCCCTTTAGAAGCCACCTTAGGGCGCCGATGGCGCTCTTCTATGGCGGTCATGGGAGGCGGCACGCATTTTGGTTGTGGGGGACGAAGACGGGTTGGCCATGAAAGACTTAGGTCATTTCCATATTCCAGAGCTTTTGATTTTACTCTCACAAGCCATTACGTGTCACGTGGCGCTAGGGGTGTGAAGTTTATTGCATCGCTTATCGGCTCAGCTGTTACGATTTCTATCTGGTGGTGAGAGCAGCCATGAATTTTTGTCATGAGAGTGGTACGAGACGCCACTACGCAGGAAGATAAAAAGATAGTATTTGTGTTGTGATCATCTTTTACCTGCGTTTTTGTAG